GCCTGGTCTCCTTGCCGCCACTGGCGAGGAGCATTCTCCCTATCCGAATGGTACAATTTTATCAACCTTTTCGCTACTATCGCCCGTCATCGCGCACGCAGGGCCTGTTCAGACGGTTCGGGCAGCCTTGGCAGTATCACCGCCAGTAGTTTGACTTGTGATCTTAGAAGCTTAGCTGATAATCTGCTTCAGGTATGAACGGTGCCTCCGCTGCCCAGATTTCCACCAACGAATGCTCAAGAATAGCGTATCTGCCGCCAATGCGGTTTCCCAGGTCGTTACGGGGAAAATATGTCGAGAAATGGGGGTACTGGGTCGCAAAGGGTCCGGTGCAGTATGTAGTTGGTAAGCAATTTGCTTATCTCTCGTCGAACCAGTATTCATGCCTCGATGTACATAGCTGGCGCAGAACATAAGCGCGTTGAGCGCCGCTGTATATGCAATGCTCAGCAACTGGCTGCCATTGCCCGCTGTCGCCTAGCACGCAGCCATCCAACACCACCAAACTCATTCTTAACCTCCACCCGAGTGGAGCATCCACCATACAGATGCTCTCCTGGACACACAGTACTCGCTGGAAGAGTCCTTGCTGCGCCTCCGCCCTCCTGCACTCGTCGTCCCGCCGTGGTGGTCCCCGTCCCACCTTTACCGCCGACCATTCGGACCCTCCCCTGAAGTTCAGGTGACCAGTCGCGTCTGGAAACGTACCCTGTGTCCGCTGTGAGGACAGATGTGTCTGTTGGCGAGGGCGATGCTGATGAACGGACTGATGTGGATGCCGAGGCTGAGGATGAGGCGGACGCGTATGTGGATTCGGATGCGGAGGCAGATCCAGAGGTAGAGCTGCTTGAAGCTGTGGACGCTTCCAAGTCGAACTCAACTCACAGCTCGAGTAGTGGCTGGCCCCAAGGTGGAGGTTTGACGATGGAGTGGCGTGTTCTCTTTCAAATACCAAACCCTCACATCATCATCTTAGTTATTCTCTCGTACTCCTCCAGTTATTTGACCCTCTCTTGCATATCCCATGGCATTGTTCCCTCACCGGTGACCTTCGCTATCCCCGTACTCCTCCAGAATGCTCCCTGGCCATCTCTAGCATGTTTCGACGCATTATTTCGATAATACATCACATTGATGACCTTGGGCGCGCCTGGACTCCTTTAATATGCTCCTTAACCACTCTTACATATTCGAAACGCGTTATTTCCTCCATCTCATCGATGATAGTACTACAAACTAGATAAAAAAGCGAGGATGTATATGTGTCTAAGAGAGGAGGGTGGGAGACTAAAACGAAGCGCGTCGCGAGCGCTGCGAGTATGGCTAGAGAGCCTTGTCCTCGCGTCCTAAATACTATGGTACATTATGCGTGACATAACGAGCAACAAAGAGATGGTAGAGACAAAGGGAACGTGACGCGACATGAAAGAGAGAGGCGGGAACAAAGCGGTGTGGTGACGTCACACTGTGCACGCCGCGCGATCATGCCCGACCATGGGAAGCCACCAAACCTCGGGTTTTGCCAGAAATTGTCGGTGATTTCTTGTGATTTCCCTGAAAGATATACTGGCAGTCGAATAATGAAATACGTGACATATTTTATCGGGTTCTAGTTGTCTCATTTCTGCGCTGACTTTTTTCAAGACCTTTTTTCCACTACTCATTATGTCGAGAAAGTCGCAATCTGAACGCACAGCGCTCGAGACAGACTGGTCAATGTCTAGTTCCCAGGTTTCGGAAGACGTCCCATGGAGCCAGTCCTCGCCACAGGCCTCGCGGCCATCCCAGTCACCCCAAGGACGCAGGCATAGTAGGCTACAAGCCATCACGGATGCGCTCAGTGGAAAGGATATCCCGACGACTCGGAAGCCCATGGTACCGTCTTATAATGTAAACAAGCGGCCAATCCCAGCATCGTCACAAGGCGGCGTCGCGCAGCAGCCAAGGCTGCGTCCATCCAGCAGGAATACCTCAAGCGATGGCCTGAGTGCCTCCATAGTGGAAGGTCCTACGTCGAATACTTCTCGCCCTGTCGCTTCAACCACTAGCAAATCAGTCTGCAGGTCTGAAAAAGCGGCGCCCGTGTTCCTTAGCCAGGAGCAAGCACAAATACTCAAGCTCGTAGAGGAGGGCCGCAACGTGTTCTACACTGGTAGTGCTGGTGGGTAAATGGATACATGCGCGCATTCAATTCTTGATGTTCTAGCTAACGCTGAATAGGAACTGGTAAATCCTTACTCCTTCGGGAGATCATCAAGACTCTTCGCAAGCAACATGCCCAGTCTCCGGAGGCTATCGCAATTACGGCTTCAACAGGTTCGCTTGCCATTTCCCTTGATACCGAATATGAATCCTAGAGTAATGCTAGGCATCGCGGCATGTAACATACGGGGCGTTACTATCCACAGCTTTGCGGGCGTTGGACTCGGCCAAGGTAGCTCGAAGGACCTAGCTGAGAAAATTCGTAAGAACGACAACGCTGTCTCACGTTGGCTACGGACCAAGGTTCTTATAATTGATGAAGGTACGGCGCTAATCACTTCATCGATGCTACTTGTCGTTAATATGCGACTGACAGTTTCTATGGTGGATGGGGACCTCTTCGACAAACTGGCTGAAGTAGGCTCGATCCTCAGGGGTAAAGAAGAACCTTTCGGTGGTATCAAGGCGCGTTCACAACTACATGACTCCGCAAGATCACCAAAGCTGATCATCCATCTTCAGTTGGTTGTAACAGGCGATTTCTTCCAACTACCACCCGTCACCCAAGGTACTAGGCAGGTGAAGTTTGCCTTCGAAGCGAAACTGTGGAAAGCAACCTTCGAGCGCACATTCAATTTGACCAAAGTATTCCGCCAGAGAGATCAAGGTACTTTCCACGCCATGGCTGTAGTTGAATACCAATGAATATCTTTGCCTAATGACAGAATTCGTCGACATGCTGAATGAGATGCGCTTCGGACATCTATCAGCCAAGTCTATCGACAGGCTCAAGACTTTGTCGCGCGCTATCGTGTACCATGACGGCATCTTGCCCACTGAACTGTGCGTGGTGTTTTTTTTGGAACAGTGATGCATTGATGCATAAGCTCGCAGATTTCCGCGTCGCAATGATGTTGATCGCTTTAACGCCATACGGATGGCTCAGCTCCAGGCTGAGAGTCATTTATTCAAGGCAGTTGACGGCGGCTCGCCGCAAGACGCTCAACAGAAGGCGAAGATGCTAGCGAGCTTGGACCCGCACTCCTCGACCTCCGCACAGATGCGCAGGTTATGCTTATCAAGAACTTGGACGACATGCTGGTGAATGGCAGCATGGGCCGCATTCTCCGGTTTGCCGATCCGACTAAGTATGGCACTGAGGGCGATCAGGAGGTAAGCGTTGGCCCTCATTTATTTCTGGTATCTACGCTGATGCTAACGGCGAGGGCAAGGAGTCGACCACCGACCCAGGGGATGACGCGCCTGATCCTAGTAGTGCCTGAGCTGTGGAAGGTTGAGTTACCTAACGGCGAGATCCAAGTGAGCAGAACTCAAGTGCGTTCAACGCGATTGTCTGCTCTTTTTGAACGTTGACGTAGACTTCGACCTTCAATACAGTTACCGGTGATCCCTTCGTGGTTCATGAGTATCCACAAGTCACAAGGACGAACGCTGGAGCGGGTCAAAGTTGATCTTGGTAAGGTCTTTCGAGAAAGGTCAGGCCAAGCTATTCAATCAGCGCATATTATTCATGTGACTAGGACAAGCGTATGTAGCAATCTCGTGGGCCACTTGTTTGGAAGGTCTTCAAGTCTTAAACTCGCGAAAGGTCGTTGAGTGCGCGGCAGTGCCTCGATCATCGGATGAAGGAGGGCGAGATACTAGGGTGGGTCTTAGTCTTCGTTCATAGTGGCTAACGTCAGCCTATTGACAGGTGCCGACCAATTCCGCAGCTGGCCTCGGTATGGCATTAGCTCACAAGACCACGTCGGGAGCCTGTTCTCTCATGGAGATTGGGTTTGCATTATCTCGTTGCGCTGGCTGCAAATGGGCCTAGAGTTGACTGTTCAAAAAGATCGGTTAATCGGTTTATCGTGCTGTACAAGAAACATGTCGACCTTGTGTTTTTGTTTACGAGTCCAGCCGTAGCATAAAACGAATTGAGATTGAAATGAGAGGAAAAGGAACTTGGCGGGAGCGCCCAAAGCGCCGTCAAAGCGCCGTCTCTCTGTTCTGGACTCACAGACGCCGACACAGTCACGGGTACGCTGGTTGCATTTCTTTCCCAGGCATCACCACCTCTTCGCTTCCGTCAACACCTTGTTCGAAATCTATATACGAAATGTACTCCCTTGGTCCTCCTCCTTGTCATTTTCAACGTCGGGTCAAAGGCATTACCGGTGCGCTTCTTGTTATCATTTATGCTGAAAAGTCCTATAATATTGACCCTATACAGCTAGCTATACCCCCGACGCGACTTCGCAAAACCAGAACGTCACACAGTAAGTGTTTCTCATTATGCAACGCCGTGATACCCCGCGTCTCAGACCATGCTCTCAGCGCAAGTGATCACGACATTGATCTTACTGAGTGGGATGTCGTCAGCGACGAGGAGGACCTTGCGGTGTACGTTTTCACCTGGCAGTGGTCTATTGTCAACGCAGAACACTAACTCATGTATCCATAGCCAGTATCCTGTCACGCATCTCCAAGACACCAATCGATACGCGCCAGTCAAGCTTTCCATTCACTTATACTATCGTGGTAAATTTGTGGCCCTGGTAGCAGGGACGTGCACCGCCGATACCCTATCTACAAGCATCCTGGCATTCATTACCAGTGACCAAAAACTTGACTTTGATATGAATCTTGACGAGCTCGACTTGTGCATGTTCCATCGCTTCAGAGCTTCCCGTCAGCGTAGACATGGGCATGCTCGGAGCTCTACCTTTGGAGATATCTTTGCTGACGGTCAGACCGCGTAACAAGTGGTGAGTCTGGGATACGCCGCTAGCTTTGAACCTGATGTCATGAGCTTATCTTGCATTCAACAGCTTCCTCTCGGATTTTGCGAATTCTTAAGATGGACACGTCATCGACCTATTTTGTTACTGCTTTGCTTGTATATACTACAGACTGAATTGCTTTATTTTATTGTTGCTTTGTATATAGTACATTTGGATTACAATAATTTCCTATGGCGACCGACGTACTTCCAGCATGGCTGTGGCCATACAGTTGTCCCCGTGCTCTCAAACGTCTCGCGAATCGTCAAGCGGGGCGCGGCCTTGGGACAATCGTGTGTCACGCTGTCGATGAACTGAACAATGCTTGCTTTGCGCTCTGCGATGGGTTGCGTGATGTAGGCCATTATCTTTCGATGAGCGATAGGAGGCGCGCAAAGGGCAAAGGAAAAGGCATACCGAGACGCCTGCAAGTCATTGCGACGAGAACAATGAGAAAAGCGGTTCATTTCAGACTACGCATATGTGACCGGCTTGCCAGGAGACGAAAGCGCCAAAGGCCGAATCGAAGCTGCCGCCAATAACTGCAACAAGTCGGATCCATGCTCCGTATTCATGTCCACCGTCACTCCCACGTGCACCCGCGCCAACTTCCTAAGTCCCATCGCTTCCTTATGCGTGATCGGTCTCGCACATAATCCTCGCATTTGCCTCCTGGCCTGGAATGGAGCAATGCATCTTGACGGAGATGACCGAGGGATAAGACACTCGAAGGCGTAGCGGGGGGCTATGGTGAAGCAAGCGTTGCGGAAAGAGACTTTGGCGGTAAAGGTTATGCCGTGGACGGTCATAGGTTCGTGGTCGAGGTCGAGGATGTCCGCTATCGCCTGACTGTGTTATTAGTGCGAGAAAGTTCGTCAGTAAGATATCCGGGGTAGGGAGGGAACGAAAAGACGACGAGGAAATAATATAAGGAAGATATCTACTCGCATTCAACGCGTCCCTCGAGCTCCCCACCAGCCGCCCATCAGCTTTGACCAAGTTGTGATAAGATTGATCATCAATATGGGATTCGTCCAGGTGGCGGAGAAACGGAGCATAATGTTGGGCCATACTTCGATGGCGCCGAGGGAGATGCTCCAGGCTGGCATCGGCGTTGCCGGCACCATCGTCCTC